ATGATTGATATGCTAGGGCAGAGGGCACCCCCAAAAAATAATCATTCTCACTCTTGCAAAGTAAAAATAGGTACCCTGACATCATCTGAGGTCATCCCCAAACACCCCAATGTAACAAATCCCTACAAGTCCGACGACCGAGTAAAACCTGGTCCTTTACCTTCTTTAACAGTGTTTTTGTATGACCAACTGACGAGTAAAATGAGGGCATTGACTGGGAATCACATATGGTCAGCGTCTTGAACACTGAGCTGAACAGCTCGAGGCCGTTCGGTCGTTTCTCGACCGTCGACTTGGCAGCTGGTGCGACTCGGATCGACTCGGTCACTGGCAGCTGGGTTCTCTCCAAGGTACCCTGCACAGAGATCTGAGATGAAGGGACGCTCTGATTTAAAACGCTTAAGACTGACTGGTGGTGTATCTCTAGAAGCAAATAGTCCGGTTGGGTACAGGATCTTGTGCATGAACACACTGAGCCGAGGATGTGCAACTGGCTTACAGTGCAGGTCAACAATCACCAAGTGCACCGAAACCGTTTCTGGCACAACCCCCCCAAGCTTTTTGAAAACCTTCCAGAACCTTAGTAGCCAGCATGTTGCTGAGAACATTCTATTGGACCTAGCTACCCCTAAAAGCCTTGCAAGCGCTTGCAAGCATACTTTCTATACGGAATTCCAATGCAGTTATATTTGTATCTTGAAATGCCAGAAAAACACACATCTCAATTGGACTCTATGTCTATAAGTCTATACATCTCTAATTCTACAGAGTTTCAATATAAACATTGTGGCGCCCTGATCCAACCTGGACATGATTGGATCCTTCCGAAGCAGATCTCTTCTTTCGCCCGCCCAAGCCCCGGGGGTGGCGATCTTCTGTCAGCACCGCACCGTTGGACCGTCGCGCGCCGCACGGAAGAAATGCTGCACTGAGGACGGTGGAGACCTGCCTGCACTGGTCGTTACACCAAGCAGTTTCTCCTGATTCCGCAGATGATTTCCCCCCGCTTCTGACCGTGAGGTCGTTGCCTTTTGTTTCGGCCCAGCTTGCTGTCTGAGTTTCGATGTTCTACGCCCGGCAAGCTTCGTGCAGCACCGTGGGCATCGTTGCCAGATGCTTCGTGCAGCACGGAGGTCTGGTGTCCATGACCTGTGACCACCCTGGACGAATCCGCAGCCGGTAGCTAGGGAGACCTTCCAGGCAACCCCCTGAGTTCAGCTTGGGAAGTAGACCAGTCTACCCTGGTGGAGGATGTCCCTATCCCATAATATAGTTCATCCACTACTTCATCCACTGAGGGTGAAGTTCATTTCGGTCCACTCCAGTTACACGGGTGCCGAAGAGTATGAACGTCTCATTCACACCTCAGACCTGCGTGAAGAAGACCCGCGTGAAGACCCTGTGATGTGGGAGGCTTTTCTTCAAAGAAACCATATGTGATGTGGGGGACGGCAGAGAGAGGCATTTTGGGTGCAACCAATTCGATCAAAAGCGCTGAAATCGTGAACATCTGGACCCCAAAACCCTCAAAACGAGACGAAACTCCATTCCATTCCTCAGTGCCGTTCCACGTGGAACGCACCTGGTGACACACCAAGCTTCGATGGGCGGGGTGTCGATGGGCTGACAATCCGAGATAAGCCTTGGGGTGAGGACCTAGGGGGCCGGGCAAAACCGCGGCAACTGATGGTTTCCCTGGTTGAAATGATTGTTTTCAATTGTTTTCCTCAAATTCAGTTCAGTTTTTGGCAAGAACTTGGCAACATCGCTTGGTTGGTCAAACTCCGGTAGGATGGATCTTTCTGCTGCTGCCCTTCATCAACCTCTGATCCGTTATCATTCTTTCTTTTGCGCCTGTCAAGACCATGCTTCAATGTACCAAAGGGCCCGTATACCAACTAGCAACAGGTTGGGATGTAGGACCCCCAAACTCAAAAATCCACCTCTCGGTGAGCTTTCACTTATTCAGGTCTCGACGATGAAAGCACGCCACCCACCGAGATGCAATTGAATTCACGAGTCTGAACCCTCATATGCTGTGCAGATCTTAGGCCCCAAAGAGAGCCATCGCAGTGTGCTTGTGAAAACATCCTTCATGGGTTCCTCCCCATCCTTAGTTGTGGGTTCCTCCCCATCGCAAGGCATCTGCGGCATCTGCTCTCGTCGTCCCCAGATCTGCCAAGCGACCACGGCAAGTCCTGCCCGCTCATCGTGCCACGCTCCCACAAACCGGAAAAACGGGCGAGTCCTCCCGGCGACGTGCGCCGGAAAAGGCGGTCGACTGGATGGTAGTGGTTCTTCAGGGTGCGTAAGATGTGGCCTGAACACCAATTGCACATGTTTTTACCATGCGTGATATGCCTTTAAAGAACATGTACCTCTGCATGGTACGAATGTGCATGAAAAAAGTTGCATTTATAGAACGTGCATGTATACGAACATATTTCGTTCTCTGCAGGAACAAAGTAGCGGCTACTCAGAAACTCTCTGAAAGCAACACACACCAATGCACACCTTGCCAAACCTCGAAGAAATATCAAATTTAGTGCCCGTGGTTTCAGGTCCATATCTGGACCAAAGACATAAACTTGCAAAACATGCAAACAACCTTAAACACATACCAAAAGAACTATCCAAATTAATTTGAACACTTGCCAAAACCTCAGGGGGAGAAAAAACAACGATAATGCTAGCATGTCATGTCCATCTGTGACCAATGGAATGGTCCTGCAAATTTAGATTGGTTTGCCCTGGGGATTTCCCTCAAACAATTGACTTCTATGTTGATGATTTTGTATATGTGCACTACATATTCTTGGTACCCTTCCCCGGTTGCCAAATTGCATGTTTCAGAGAGTCCAAGTCGATGTACGAGATCTGCGAGCCCCTTGGTTCGGGCTTGGCTTGGGGCAATGCACTATCGGTTCGCAAGACTTGACCTAGACAGTGAGTTCCACCGTCTCTTGCTGCTGCAAGCTCAAACCGATTTGGATCCTCAATACATTGGACCCATCAACGCGATGGGATTGGGAGAGTTGAGCATCTCCAATTTCCAGCTGGGTGCCGACATGTGGGAGGGAATCAGGCGAACGCCAAACTTTCGGATCCGATTTCCTCGGATCCGGGACCAAACACTTCAGATCGGATGAAGACCCTAAACCCCACGCGAAATGGCTGGGTTGCCACGAAATTCACCCTGACCCGGTATGGATGGGTTCTATGGACCTGGGGTGTAATTCGACTGTTGAGTCGATGGAGAGAAGGTCGTGACCTGATCCGATCTACATGGACTAAGACATACTAAGACTAAGGTCATCGACTGAAACTTGGCTTTTACAACCCCACCTTACAGGGCACATACCAGGGCCCCCGTATACGGGGTGGTTAATGGACACCCATGAACCTCTATAAGGAGCTAGTATTGGACACCCCTTAGGGGGGCCCCGCTTTTCTGGGGATGAAATATCATTAAGATTCTACCTTTAAAGCACCAAACGGGAGTCTAGTGGAATAGAGAGACCTCGTGTAGAATGTAACACCCCTCCGTTTCTAGAATGGCTAGAGCTCCATTCACGGGGGCGAACTGTTCATTGAAGTGGTCGCCTCATTGTACGATACGGCGAACTCGTTGCAGCGCACGACTCTTGGGACTAAAGCTTATACCTGTACCAAAAGATACCTGCTTCGTAAGGCCACACCCGACGGTGTATATAGCAACGACTTCTTCAACGACGACATGGAGCGTCCAGTCGAATGGTCAACCATGCTACGCTAAGACAACACACGAGGCAAATCTATACATGCTACACCGGGAATTTGGGGAAGATCCAGGTCGTCAAGTTCTCCTCATGGTCGAAGAATGCTTGTGCTCTCATGTGGATCAACAAAAATGATGAGCTGCGGGCTTCTGGAGAGATTACTAAACCAAATTGAAAGCATCCAAACCTCGACTGACTGGACCCGGGCTCGCTGGACCCTGCGTACCCCGCAGATGTGACTCATCTCGTTCGTTCAGTAATCCCACGGTCCGTTCTTGAGACTGGTCTTGTGGCTTCGTTGCATATCGCGAGCTAAATCGCTGTGTTCTTCACCTCCCTCATCCCTCACCATGGAATCGCTTGACATCCGGGGTCAATCGGTTACAGCCCGGGTGCCATGACCCACAGCCGTCAATCTAGACAAGGTGTTTGGCCGCCGCGTCGTCCTTTGACTCGGATGGACATCCAACATGAATCGATGAGTATATATACTATATATATGCTATATGCATGTATACCATATATGTTCTATGTCTTTTGACTTTTGATCAATGCTTTGGACCCAATTCGGCGGAGTTCGAATCAGTGCTTTCACACTCGACTACGTCCCCGCAGGGAAGATTTGGGCGAGGCCGCATAAGATCTGAACCAGCAGAACTAGGAGCTGCTTGGAGTTGCTGAAGGAACCCGGCAAAAGACAAACAATATTCCCCAGAAGAGATTTCACCACAGGGAAAAAATAACAAATCGCCTTAAGCAAAACCAGGGCTGCTTGGTTGAAATAGGAACTGACATGTAATAGATTGAGCAAATCCAAGTCGCTGCAAGCTGGCGCGCATGATGATGGCGGACCTACAACCTGAACCACACCTGGTGATCTTCTACCGATCCTAGCAACATCAGTTGTGAAATGTTCAACATGACTTTAAGGTTGCTCGGCAACTGTCCTGAAAATTGATAAGTGATGGAACATTACAAAAGTATCGAGTAGAAACTGGTCTCAGCCACAGGGCTATCACAGTGTGGCAAAAGTGTCAAAAAAAAGTATTGAGGATCGAGTTGCCGACTACAAACATTGCAGGAACATTTCAGGATCTGGCCATAATATATGGTTATTTATAATAAATACTCTGGTTCAATCGCCTGCAAGAAGAACTCAAGCAATCCGATCATAGTCCTAGTAGCTTCTTGTTACTACTAGTAAGGCACTTGTTTCTAGAAGCGATGCACTTGTTCCTGGTAGCTTCTTTAAATAGTAATAACAATAAAGACTCGAAGTTCACTTCTGGACACTCACATTGCTACTCCCCGGATTCCTCTTTCTTCAACCCGAATTGACGAACAACGGATTTCCCACCTGTGACGAAGGGAGCGGCACCTCCACTTCCCGCGAATTTCGAGCCTCATCGGGACCTCAAAGGCAGAGAGGCAGTTTCAGGCTGGCTTGGGCAACTGTGCTGACGTCTGACGGCATCTGACCAAAGATCAAGAAAGAAATGGAGCCATCTGTAAAAAACGTTTGAGCTCCATCAATATTCTATATATATTTATATAATGGTATGGTATGCATCATAAAAATAATTGCACTATTGGGACAGTTGTATAGTTGTATACTTAGATTCTTGTTGATCTTCTTCAGGAAAGTTCCAGCGTGGTGCAGCGAGTTCCCAGTATTTGATGCATCCAAACGTGAGAGGGGACTCGGGCTTCGCGTTTCGATCCATTTCTCCGTTTCGGAGAAGCGAGCGAAACGATGAGCGTACATGTGGATGTCGAGGACATCGCCTGATTCGAAGACGTTCAGCAACATCCACAGGCCTGTTGTAGCCTGTCGAAGTCGACTTCGCCCTATTGAACTCTTCGCCAGACGCGACGCTCCATGGGACCAGACTGCCGAGAAACGGCCAGGGGTGGTGCCAGGGGGCCAATGGGGTGGCAGTCCATCCTGGATGGAGCGTCTGGGATTGAATTTTGCCCTGCGCAGAAAGAGGAACACGGATGCGTCCTCCATGTCCTCACGATGAAGCATCTGTGTCCCTCTCACGGGGAGGTTTAACAAACGCCTGACAAAAGATTTTGGGGTCACCTTTTTTTCAAAAGAAACCCAACTTAACCGTTCACCTAACTAGGGTTCACCCAACCCTGAACTCGCATTGTTCCCCCAACCCTGAACTCGCATTGCAAATAGGTTGGAAATGATCAGTCACGTAATATAATTGTACATTACATGACCCCTGCCCAGCAAAAACAGAGCATATACCTGCAGGCCTCTACCTGCATTCAAGTGGCCACAGAATGTCACTGGAAGGACAAACTGCTGAGCAGCTCATCCACATCCTTCATCGAACACCGGAAACTGCTGAGCCGCCCGAGCAGCCCAAGCCGTGTGGAACCCACTGGTCGAGATCTCTAGGGTTGGGAGCCATGACCGTTGAATTGGAAAGACATAGACATCTGAAACTACTCCCAGACCGTTGAAATAGACATAAGTAAATATGGCCTGCATTTACCACCCAAAAACACCCGTCCTTGACTGGCCACTGGCCACGGAGCATCTGGGTCTGTTAAGAGTATCTGAAAATGACCTCAATTGGTCGGACCCACTATTGGCACCCAAAGATTGTTGTCCCTTTCCTACCCAAAACCAGGGTCATGATTGGGTTCTGGGTCTGCATATCAAATTCTTATCTGTTCTGTCTTGTGTTCTTACACCTGGTATTGACGCCACAGTCCAAGCAAAAACCATCTTGCCGGAATCTTGCCATGTCCTTGTCTGCAACTCGAAAACCACAGTGAAAGAAGCTGAAACTGAAGCAGTGCATCTGGTGTTCCTCCAAAAAACCCTGGTGGGTCAAAACCAGAGCGCTTCAGCCCTGTTCACCCTGATAGGTTGACCATACGAATACCCTGGATGATACATACCAATACCCAAACTACCTCCCCTTTCAGGGCCGTGAAAACGGGTGCCATCCTGGTTTCGGTCGATCGGTTGGTCCATCACATCTCACATCTCACATCCATATCTCAGTGATTTGCCTGTCGAGGTGCAGTTTGCCTCGGAGGTCTGGGAACATTTGCCTCGTTTGACACTGGGAACTCTTTGGAACCCCTTGATTAGGCCCCAACAGGATTTGCAGTGTCTAAGCATCCTGAACCAAATCGGGATTGTAAATCCGCCCACACCGCTTGCGGTGCAGGGCGTGTTAGGGGCGGGTCAAGCTGGAATCATCGTCAGTCAATCATCACATCGTAATCAGTTCATAGCTCTGCTAGGCAGGGGGGTGGTTTTGTTTCGGGGAAAAACCTCTTACGCCTCTAGGGCCATGGGGGAGAGCGTTTTGGAGGTACATTTTTTGGACTATTTCTGCAAGAACCCAAACAAGCCAAAAACGAACACCCACGATGCTGAAAAACCCTCTTGACCAGCAACGCATAACCAGCATTATTGCAAAAAAACAAGCCTCAACACAGGGTCACCAAACGATCAAGCTAGCCTTGACATGATGTGGACTACTAGGAACAAAAGGACGCTACGCACGGGGCTGCTCAGATGCTCCAGGGATGCGACTCTTCGTCCCATGCCCGCTCCTGTGGCCTCAACGGGCCTCGGACCGCAGTCGCTTCGAAAAGGAACACATGCCCAAAAGAGTCGTAAATAGGAGTGTTTATGTCGGTTTTGGTGGTATAAGCAATGAACTCAATCTAATTAGTTAATGTAATATATATAGTAATATGAATATGATATAATATATATATATATACCTACATCTTCCTCCCCTGCACTTTTTTAGACCCTGAACAAAAACATTGAAATTTAAGACCCTCAAGTCAGAATCAGACCCTTAACAAAATTTCTGCCCCTGGCAGTTTCTGGAAATGACACATTCAGCCAAATGTTCCAGCAAACCTTGCCTGTAAGGATGTTTGTAAGATGTATCTCTTAAGTGACAAGGCGGTGGTTCAGCGGCATTCCAACCTTAAAGTACTCCAGTTGTTTGGTTTCCATCATGATGATATGGCTGCCCACCAACAGTAGATCAACAAGAATCAAGATAATACAACAATATCCTTGCAAACCTTTGAGTGCCACTTAATTAACCAATGGAGGTGCTTCAACTTCAGTCAGTCCAGAAAAGTCCATCCATCCCATGCTTTGTTTTCACTCAACCTGATCGAAAGCACGTTTGCGCTTCAAGCGATCTAGCTCCAACTTCCCCTTCACCTTGTACGCATGAAGGGTATTCTCCACCACATGCCTGTGCCCCACCCGGCGACTTTGTCGTGCAACTCGACCAACAAAGTCTTCACTCATAGAGCAGTCCCACAATGCTGGGTTGCAGCGGAACCTGTCCTTTGAGCAGATTTGTAGGCGATGGTAAATGTGCGCAGTACCATGAACCTTTGGGACCATCGAAAACAATGTGAGTCCACGGTCCAAACTGTGTTTGGCCAGCCTAGCGTAGGCATGTAAGAAACCACGACAATTTGCTTCCAATGTCCTCCCACAGCTTCTTTGAAGCCAGATTCCATGTCTGTGAATGGATTGAAAATCCAGACCTGCTTTGCAAGCATTGTTCACCAGGATCAACGACTGTGTCCTAGCAGAGTGAACCAGCTGTAAGCTTGTGAACCATTCTAACCATCGTAGCAAATACATCGAGTCGGAGCCCTTGCAGCCAACCCACGGGAATGATGAAGCAGTTGGATAATGCAGCTTCTCTTTTGTGAACCCGCGAATCCCTGAGGGGCTCACCCGAGCAGTATCGCACCAGAGGTGGAACGATGCCCATGCGCGTCCAAGTCTTGCATCGACCGCTCTTGACTCCCCCCACATCATTGTAATCGAACATGCAGTCAAAACAAAGTAGAAGTACAGCTGAGGCTATAAAGTTTCTTGCTATTCCCAGACGGAATAGATGAAACGTATCCAAGAGGAACCATCTGGCAGCCAAGCCTGTAGACCAATCTTCAAACACAATATGGTGGAACGGCGGCATTGAGGACCAGGGAGCTGAGTGGTACACCGTTCCTTTCCATGCAGCAGAGCTTGTAAGGTCTTCAAAAGGATGAAGCGGACCACCAGCAGCACACAAGTGACAGCACGGGATGAAGTTTCTATGTCCAACATTTTGATATGATCTGCTCAACAGTCCGGTCTTTGCATGATACTCAAGATCACCAACCATCCCCAAGAATCCAAAGTGATAGACACAACCATTGTGCATAATACCATCTGCAGTCAGTGGCCCAAGATCTTCTGAGATGGTTTCCAAAACAGATAGTAAAAGCCCTGGAAGTTTTTTGTACTTCTTGGAAGGAAAAGCACAGAGCAAAAAGTGCGTCAAGTAGGAATGGTGACGGCAGTTGAGCCGCTGCGAGAAAGGATGTGTGGGATCCCCCGACACATACTCGACCTCACCAGAACAACATTTGCGCTTGAATTTATCTCCAGTCTTTCCTGTGTCTAGTCCAAGGATTGGATGTAGAGAAATCACTTCCAATGGCTGCTTCTTCAATGTACGAGCTCCATCACCATGAATCACCAGAGGTATTGTAAAACTCAAATCCACAACACCTTGGTCTGCCAACTGAAAAATCTGATGAGTTGGGTGTTCCACTCGGTACAACTTCCAGAAGGTTTTGAACAAAGTTTGCATTTGTGGCCCAGGATTGAATCCACCCATCAAGACAGATGGGTAGGCAGAGAGGAGGTAGCGAAGCACATCACTTCCCTTCAAAAAAGGCAGATCAACACAAGACCCGTTCTCTTCAAAGTAATGGTAAGAGTTCGGAACTTTCCTTGGCACGCCAGCAAACAAAAACTGTCATCTCAAACCCTTGATGCATCTCAAGCCCAACAAGAAAGCATTCCTGAAACACAAGCTAGCATCATCTCAAATCCAAAGCGCTTGGTGGCCCTTTTGTATTGTCGGGCAGCATTGGTCTTGCTGCGGCCAAGGGTTGAAACCGTGGACGGATGCAAAGCTGAAGCAGGGTCACACCGGAGTTCTGATTGCAAAGCTACACCATGCTCCTGAAGAGTGGAAGCTGTTGCCTCGGCACTCTTGGAAACGAGTTTCTTCATCAAACAAATCCTCTACTTTCCCCATATTATATAACAGCATCCTACCTTCACCAAGCACAGCCAAAATACACCATCAGCAATCTTCTCTATCACATGTTCCAGAAGGGGCCCCGCTGGTTCACAATCAGTGGAACCTGGCAACACGTGCAAAAGAGACAGTCGAGTCAAGATTGTTTTATCATTAGTCCAGCATGCTCCTACCTGTCCATGCACAGACCATTGTCAAGCATTCATTTGTTGTGCCAGGGTGAATGCAGAAGCGCATCTTTGCCCTTGCCCAGCACCAGTTGCTCGAAAAACGACTGGCTAAGTTGACAGCAAATCCACTTAATTTCGATCCAGATCATTTCATTCTGGATTCAGCAAGGTCATCCCTGCCAAAAGCATAACCCCAAAATACAATCACGGAAGCTCGCCTTGCTCACAAACAAAGCTGTTTTCCAAGCATCAAACCTGTAAGCTAAAAACATCCTTTTGAAGACATGAAGCAAAGCACCCTTCCTGTCTCCCCAGACACTACCACCCAAGAAAGCTTGTTTTCGCTACTTGGGTTCCTTCTTTACTACCTTCACTTTAGCGGCTCGCTTTGGAGCAGGCGTGTTGCCTGCCTCCCTTTTCTCAACCTCCCTCATTGCCCTTTTTTTCCTGGGCCTTCATGTGGCTGATAAAGGGCCTCCAAGCAAATGGAGACTCAATATGAACCTGCAAGATCATACAATATTACATATAATATATACCTGTGCTATGTTTGGGATCTGTAGGAAAGGCTGAGGGCTTGGACTGTGCACGAGTCGACAAGTTCAAGGCCAGACCACACCTGAGAACAGTGAAACAGCGAAGAGGTGACTGGAGTATACACCCTGGATCCAATTGCATGATCAAACATCACCCAAACTCTGCGTCCATCATTTGCACGAAAAGTATTGTATATTTCAAGCTCACAGCCGAGTCAAAGGTCAAAGGCACGTGTGAAAAGAAAAGCACACATGCACGCATGCACTAAGAATTCAGTGCTAACCAACACGTTTAAGTTGATCAGCCCTGCCACCTGCAACATAATTGAAATAAGGAGGGCCTGCATGAACTTTGCGGTTCAGTGCCCCCCTCCCCTCCTGTGCCAACCTCATTGCGACACCCTGATGCATGGGAAAACAAAGCTATCAATGCAGCTTCAAGCATGTGAGTTAAGGCCACATCATCACTCATGTAGATTATCCACATTTCTTCAAAATTCTTAGACAAGTATGTCTGA